TGAATACACAGAAATTATAAAAAAAATTCAAATAACACAGATTTCTTTCATCTCCTTAAGTGGTTGCTGAGCACAACACACTCCCAGAATAGATTTTGGGTAACGACTCCCCACGCTGCCTGAATAATTTATCCCTACTTTCCCCTAGAACACGGCTGGGAAGTTTCTGCCAAAAATAAAATCGCTAGTAAACACGAGCTCTTTCATATGTGTGTGTTTAAAAAAAGAGACTAAGTGGGCATTACAGGGTAGAAATGCTCCCTGGCATTTTGGCATCCAGCTGTCTGGTTTATGACACGATAGGGTAAAGGAGGCGAGGTAGGAGGTCACGAGGTACATCAGCGGACCACAGGCATCACACGTGGGCCTCTGAGATGTCTGACACAGTATGTTTTGTACTCTAGGTGTGTGTTGGCAGGGGTTTCAAAAGCTACAAGAGATGAGGGAAGCATGCCAGAATTACTAGCATTCACACACACACACACACACACAGATTCAGTTGGAGCTGTAGGCAACTTGGTGAGTGGCACCAGAAAAAGATGTGTCAAAACAGAAGATAAACAACACTACTGCATTGTTCCATTGCCAACTTGAACTGGTGTCATGTGTCTTTCTAGCACCCATAATGCTTTGACAGTAACTCTTGTCTAATTGTGAAGGCAACATCTCGTCAAACAGGACTGAGCTCCCGTCGCATTGTGGAAATCAGAAAAATATGCATTGCGAAATTCAGCTGGAACGCAACACACGTGAAACTGCTTCCTCTGTGATTGAAATGTGACAAAGGTGGGAAACTAAAACCGAGTTTCAGGTGACTTTTGTGGAATGGGGAACAGAGAAAAAAGAACTTCCCTGTTGAGAATTTAATATGCAAATTGTTTCTTTCCTCATTACATTACATTTCCAAAATAGGGAGCAAAAGGGATTAGACAACCTATCCCTCTACCATGCATAAGAGCCATTGAGCCTGAGCCAGTTGTTGTTTGGTGAAAAGGTGTACCATGTTTTTAAGTTGACATGCATGCTCTTTTAAGCAAAGCCCCGTCAGAAGATCACTTTAAAAACTGATCACTGTCCGTGAAAAATAAAAAAAGGGATAATGAGGGCACAAGATGTTTAAATAATGACACATAAATACAAATCTTTTCACCCACAAACCACCAGATTGTTATTTTGATCAGATAACGACTGAATATGTGGCCTCAAGCAGTAATAATGCTGTAGTTGGAGGGTCAACAGCAGAAATAAAAATGCCAACACAAACCAAGTCAAAAACAAAATGTCACAATAACGAATGGGTGAAAGATGAACTTCATTGGTTAGAGAGGAAAACAGAACCATCTTCTTCTGAAAGGCCCGTTGCCAGAAGCATGCCTGTTTCAAATTATTAAAACATTTTAATGTTTTTTCTTTGGTAAAATGCAAAGCAACTATTTTATTTTATTGCTCTTGAAAGTGTCAAAAACCCTACAAAAATTCAAACAAAGTGTTGTTTCTCATTCTCACCAGCGAATAATATGCAATGGGAAACTGTTGCAAGAGGGCCATTCTCAACCTTTCATCCAAAACGTACAGAGGGATTTACCAGTAATGTTTGATTACATGGGCCCTCTTCAGTAAAGTCATACCACAGCGGCACACAGGTCTCATACTGGCAGGCGTAATGGTTGTTCCATAGCACGGACACATTACAGACACCAATATAGCCTCATTCACAAGCATGTGTGGTCCCTAGTTGACTTCCTTTGTGTGTTGCTGTTTTCCTTCGAGGTAAAGCAGTCGTCCACAGGAGTGAATGAGTTTTTAAGTGGCTCTGGTGACTTTGTGGGACAAACAAGCGGCAAGGTCCCGTCCCAGCATCAAAAACCTCAGACTGAGCTCCACACACGGCAGGAATTTGAGTGAATGAGAGAGTGTCTGAGTCAGCGCATGCATTTTGTTTTGGATGTGACTCTTTGGTCCGTTGGTGTGTGTGCGCATCCTTTTGCTTTGTGTGTGAGTGCAACAAGACTTAATCTAGCCATTGTTCCTGGACCGACTATTGAGATTTCCTGCTGCTGATATCACTAGAACAGCAGAAATATATTACTTTTTATTCCAAACATAATTTTTCTGTCTCCCCTGCTGACATGAGGAACAAAATCCTCACCATTTACTTAATTAGAGGGGTGAGTTTTCACTCACGCATTGTGTCTCTGAAACGTTCAGGCCGCTCTGAGCGCAGGCAGTTGCCAATCGGTAATGAAGAACAAAAGCGGCACATCTGCTGTGGCTTTGGCGAGAGAGCACCAAGACGGCCTCAAAGCAAACTCCAACCTTTTATAAGAACCATAAAAAGCCTGCACTCAATGCTGGGATAGAAAACAAGAGGAAAAAAAATAATAATAATCTGGGTAAACAAAATCTGCTGGCTGTACAGAAACATGGTCAGATGGAAAGTCAACGGTGCTCAGAGGCAACTAGAGGCCAACTATTGACAGGGCTAATCCATGGGATCCTAGAACTCATAATTCTTCCAACTGCGGAAACTGAACACCATCATTATATCAGCTGTATCTGCAGTTCTGGAAAAAAGTAAAACATGCAAACTAGACAAAAGTCTTGGCATTTGAAAGCTCCAACGTGTCAAACAGATATCGAGGGATGAGGAAACCCCACAAATTAAAGCACAGGAGGTAGTTTCTTGAAGATGTGAGTTTGGCCTATCAGAAGAGTTGGAAGGCTGTGACATGATGCTATCCATAGTGCAAGAGTGGAATTAAGGGATAATATTCTTTATAAAACTGTCCAACAGTTAGGTTAGATAGGGAGGGAAACAGACAGCTAATATTTGTCTCTTTGGAGACCAAAACAATCAGGGTCAAATAAGTGAGAATACAGCAGGAGTCAAACAGTCGACTGTCTTGAAGTTGATCCCAGTCTGCTTCAGCTTGACCGATTTGACAAGGACAAACAACTTACATCAAAACCACTGCGCCAAAGTCACTAAAAGCTACACAAATGTGGGAACTAAGGCAAGCATCTGTTGTTCTGTGACACTGCTTGGTCTTTTTTCTTTTTTGTATTGAGATAAGACTGAGGTCAAACTTAGAATACTGGTATCACAGCAAAACTGTTTTGGAAACTTCCCAGCTGTGGTTTAACACCATAGTTTAGGGCTGTTGATTGGAATTCCATTCAAGCACCATTTGCTGGGACAAGTCTGGGAAACAGGCGAGCTCCATCCATCACGTCCCGATGAAGAAATTCACAGGAAACACGTGGTCAGTCTACATTATTCCACTGTCAGCAGTCATCTGATAGCATAATATGTACTGGCTTCCATCAACACCCTTTCTTTTGCTATGTCTAAGATGTGGTCCATCCATGGAAGTGGTTCACATTTAGTGTCTTAGCCGAGGACACCTGAGCAGGACAGTTCGTGGGGCAGTAGTAGAAACGTTTTCAATGTTTTCCTCCCTCAGCCTGCAAACTCGCAGGAAGTTAATTGGTGACCCCGCCTCTCGCCCAAAGTCAACTGGGATCGGCTCCAGCCACCCGTGACCGTCAAATGGATAACAGTGAATGAATGTATGGATGGAATATGTTATGAATTAAGGATACAATGAAATCTACTAGATGTCATTCAAAAGACTAAAATATGCATGCTCTATGCCATTATGGGTATGATTGTATTGTTTTGGGTAGGCTATATAAAACAGCACACTCATACCAATAATCAATGGAAAGAACTCATTAGTAAAAGCCTAAAACATTTCTTCAACAGTCAGCTCAACTGTTGAAATGCTTTCTTCTAAGTAGTGTGCATACATGAGACCAAAAACAATATAAAAGCATGACTAATTGGGCTTTGTGGGAATTATCAACACAGTTGGAACTAATCTGTGACCAGACTGTTTGGTTGAGAATAACTAGTGTATAAAATACATTACTGCATGCCATAACAAGCAAGTTGTAGCAATTATGTGCAACCAAAGTATTTGCTGCGTCATATAAAAGTTAGGCCTAAGTAATTTGCCAAACAATCATGTTTGGCAGTTGAAAGACTCACACAGGCTCACTGGGAAAACTACCACCACCCAAACAGCTCTTCTTGTTAAGACAGGGCATGATGTGAAAGGTTTTGGTTTGGCAGTGCAGCAGGCGAGGCTGAGACCTGGAAAGCAGAGCTGAATCCCGGCACGCCGCTGCCTCCATCCTCATGCTGCATTAGGGGAACAACAGGCCTGCGGCAGCAAATCCTATCCCCGAGTGGGAGCAGCTCTCCATCCCTCATCTGTGCTTAAAACGGGATACCACAGTCCATTCCCTCCCTGAATGACATGCTAATGCTGCACAAGGCTAAGCTGCTGCTGTTATCTGGTGTCACTAACACCGGGCAATGCTTCTTGAGGCTATACAGCACGCTGGGTTAGTCTCCTCACAGATAACTTGCAACAGCAGTGGGAAGGGAAGAGTTACCTTTCAAACCAATCATGATGACACGGGAAATTATAAAATTATTAATAAAATGTTTCCCACTGTGAAAACATTACATGGAGACTGTGGCAGTTATAGGCATTGTGATGGGGAATAACAAGTTGTAGGCTACGTATTGACTTTCAATAGTGAAAACCACATTTAATTCAAAATATTCAAAGATACGTTCTATTAAGTTATTTTCTTATTGAACCAATGTTGCATTGCCAGTCATGAAGGCTTCGAAAAGTATCTTCAAAAGCCAATTGTTTGGCTGTGAGTTTAGAAATGGCTGCCTCTAGAACACCTCTTTGTCACACCGCCACAAGCGGGGAGGTGACAGTTGATGTGTTGTGTGTTTGAGTTTATTTTGTCCCTTTTGAGAGTGTGAGAGGTGCATGGTGGGTTTTGTTTTTTGTCTGTCTGTGGTCTCTGTCTCCCTCTCCCTCTCGCTCGTCCTTTTCTCCCTCTCCCTCAGGGCGGAGTTGTGGGCTGCGCCACAGGACCACTGGGCGGTTTTACCCAGCTGCAGGCAATCTGCTGTTCGCACACCTGTCTTCTGTGATCATCAGGACTGGCTCTTATACCCTGCCATCTCCTCAGTTCCCTGCCGGATTATTAAGTCATGTTTGTAGGTGACACTATGCTCAGCTTTAACCTGTGTCCTGAGACCCTTGCGCCTGTTACTGACTCTGTTTTCCTGTGTTCTGCTCTAGTGTTCCTGGAGACCCTGCTCTGCAAACCATCGCGGACCCACTTCTCCATCAGCTCCCTTTTACCTGCCACCCCACGCCACATTAGGGAAACCATTCCTCCTGCATCAAGCCTGTCTCACTATATTCACTGTTCAATAAACTGTGTTCTTGTCTGCATCTGGGTTCTGTGCCAAAACATCTCTGGTTATAAACAACCCACTGTGTCTAACCAATTTTGAGCCAAAACTTTTTAAAGATTGAGTATGAAAGTGCAATGGATGAAGGACTACAATAGCTACAACTGTAGCAAGCCAGTAGTGATCGCTGCAGTCCACTCACCTATATGGACTGTGTGACTGACCGCTGTATGATACACCCTGAGACAACATCTACGGATTAGCTAACAAACACGGATTGTTTGAATGTGAATCTCCCACTGATAGTAGTAGTAGTAGTGGAGACTTTATCTGGCGCATGGAAATACTTCTTGGTCATGACTGTCAATAGTCCTTCACCCAAAGAGCCACACTGTACCAATACTTTCTGTTTCCTAGAGGGTAAAATTTCATTAGCAGTGCCAGGGAGAAGCAACCACGGACCTTCATGCTATAAATGACAATTGCTAGGAAGGACTGATAGATCACATTCAGTCTCAGAAACACAACACACAAGCAGAGTTTTTGAAAACTGCCTCTGCCTTCCTGAGAGGCAGCTTACAACCCTCCTCCTGCCTCTGTCGCTTTTACTCATAACTCCAGTAAACAAGTTCAATAATTCAGTAGCTATCGCGGGTACCTGCTGAGTCCCAGGACAAACATTCATCTGGTTAGGCTGTGCAGCAGGAAAAAGAAATAACAAGTACATTATTGATGCTGTAATATTTTCAGGGAACACCTGAGATGTGAGAGCATGCAGGCCAGGAGACGTTCTGACATAGAAGGGTCAAACTCGCGTGTTTGGGATCACTTTGGTCAGCATCTTTAGATTTTGGCTGTGTTGATGACTGCACTTCTGTGTTTTGCGGATTGACACCAGTGATGAGAACTAACAGTGACATTCACACCCTCTGATCACAGATATGACATGGAGGGGGTCCATATTGGTTTAAATTTTGGAAAATTGGCTCCATTAAAAGAATGCTGAATTAGCAGTTCATGTTTGCAATGTACCCCATGGATGTACAGACAACTATCACTGGATTATTTTGATACCGTGGAAACTTTCAAACGGTTGATTCTCGGGCAGGTTCTATGTCTTACCCTCTGTGCCTGTAAGCCTCCCCTGGCTTCATGCTGCAGAATGTTCATGTCTATTACAGATGATATCCTGCATATGTTTCTCAGTGGTTAAAATGCTGTCCAGAACGATGAGCTGAATTATCAATTAGCACAGTGAATGTTTAATTCCCTAAAATGTCCGGATAGGCCTTTAGTCATTTTGCTTCTCGTCAAGGTTCTTTCTGCTTCTCTCACTATATTTACTCTCGGCCTGTTTGTATCACTCACTCAGCTGCCACACTACCCGTATGTTTTGACATTACGTTTTATGAGAGGATTGGACAAGAGGGAGGAAAGATTGTGACCAAGAGGTGCATTGGAAATGGGCCATCTGGGCTTCTTTCATACCAAAACTCTCTCTCTCACATACACACACACACACACAAACTAATTTCTACAAAACACTACCTTTGCAAAACACAGACAGAGATGAAAAAGCCCTTGGGGATCCTAAATGTTAGCAGTTTGACACACGTCTGAAAGCCTCTGTTCGATGAAGAACAATTTGCATCGGCCCGCTTTCTGTTTTGTATCCTCTGCTTCTTTCGTCAGCGCTTCCAACATGAGCAGCGCTTCCACTATCTGAGGTTTGTTATTTGCAACTTTTGTGGCTGTATGTCACTGGACTACTTTGCCAATCTGCTATTCGCAGTCGGTTGGCTTTGGTCTTTGGAAGGGCCGTGAAAACATCAACAAAACACTGACCAGAGTCCTTCCTATTGGGTCTAGGCTGACAAAAGAAAAAAAGTTATTTTTACTTTAGTTTTCTGTGAATTCAGGAAAGAGGCTTTTTCATTAGTCCCTTGGGCATTTTGAGACCTAGAATATATAATTGAACTGCTATATATTTTTACAAGAATGGGACTTAAGTTCAAACACTGGCAACCTAGCTTTTGTGAAACTGGCCTAATTTAAAAAAATATATAATTGGCACTGCCTGTCTACCTGGAGTGCTCTAAGGGAACCAGTTACATAACAAAAATGCTCCTGAGTGATTATGTATAATAGTGTAATTGTACTAACAAAAAGAGCCTTCTCCACCTCATCATTAAATCAATTACAGTAGCAAAGCCAGACACCATGATTAAAAAATTCAAGAAATTTAAGATGTCATTAAGAGAGTGGGCGGGGGGATTAGTGAGGAAAGAATGGAGCATATTATTTCATTACATTTTCTTATTGTTTTTTTTTAATCCTCCAAATCAAATGTGTGTTCAAGCAAAACTAACCTTTTTTTTTTAGCAGCCACTGGAATCTTTTTCCAAAGTGATTTACACTGCCTAAAAATATAGTAAAAATAGAGAAAAATCCAGCCCGAAATGCTATTTTATTTGCATAAAGGGTAGTGAGTTTCATTTGAAAGTCTATTAAAGAAAAAATATATTATGCTTTTCCATATTTTATGACTTATCTACAATGTTACAATGTTGGATGTTCATGTTAAACATGGCCAAAGCTTCAAATAATGACGTTAAGGTATTTAAAAGAGATCCCTGTGAGCCAAAACCCACGGACACACTGAGCTACGCAGAGCCGGTTTCCATATATGGTCATTAGCTCCACACAACTGCGCTCAGTCTGTCTGTACTGCTCAGTCTGTCTGTACTGCTCAGTCTGTCTGTACTGCTCAGGTCTTGGCCAACAGAAGACAGACGGCATCTACAAATGTGTGGAATGTAATTTTAGTCCTCATAAAACATTTGCAAAAGCCACATTTTAAAGTAATTTAAAGCAACATTATGTAAGATTTGTTTTATTGTGCGATTTGGCGGCCCTACAGTATAATTCACCGCTGTCATAAATAAGGCAGCTGTACATTTGTTATAATGACATTACAAAACTAGCAAGTTGCCAACTTTGCTAAACAACCAAGCAATTTTACTTACTAAACCAACAGAAAGAATGCCAGCTGTGCATCTGTCTTGCAGCCTTTTATGTCACAAAGCTCTCACGGCAACGAGTAAAAGCCAGTCCGATATTTACTCTTGTCCATTCTCCTGCTTAGTCAGTCTCTTTTCCTCTTATTCGCTTCCTCCAACAAAAAATCTATTCGCAGCCCCTGTTATGATATCCATACTGAAAAAAACGAGCTAGCTGAAGGGTTTTGTTGGTGTGTTGTGGTGCATTAAATCCTTATGCTGTCCTCGCGATAGATGTCCGTCCTGATTTTAATATTACACGGTCCCAATTCCAAGTACTCCTGGCTGGCAAGGCAGTGATAGAGATTCCATTCAGCCTACAGCAAGTCAGTGTACTATCAAAATGATTTTGAATCTGTTATTTTAAGATAAAAATACTACATAATGTTGCTCTAAATCTAGCATTTTATGTCCGTGTTTACTTGCAACGCATTGCTGCTTATCTTGGCGTGTTGCTGCCACCTGTTGATCAGTACAATAGTGTAGTGAAAATTATTGGCAGGACTGTGTATTGCGTCACCTGCATGCATGTGTGTGCTTGAAATAATATGAGGTCCCACTCATAGAAAAGGTCAAAAACTTTAGAGGGAACCTTTAAGTTAATTTGTTTTAGTGCGTCAGAGATCTATAGGGTTGGTCACCATGAGCTTGCTGTCCACAGTTTACTGTACTCTTGTTCTTTGTTGTAAAGTTCAAACAATACTGTGTGCATATGTAGAATCCCTCTCATGTTCAATTAAATCTGCCAGTGTGTCCGCTGCCATGTGAAGGCGAGGACATTTGCAGGACAGATAAAGGGTGGGAGATGGGATGCTATGATGTCTACCACTGCACAGATAGCACCTAATGTACATTTAAACTGTCATCTCACAGACTCTGTGGTTAGCCTGTTGACACTGATGCTGACTGTTGTCACTTCCTCTGACATTCTCTGTGGTTCCCATCATTAGGCAGCAACATTACTCAGACCAGCAAAGGAGGAGCCTGTGATTCTGCCGTTTGCTCTGGAGCTCAGAGAGAAAACTGGCAGATTAAGAGGATCAGGGAGGTGGGGGAGAACTGAGAGCTGTCGGAACAGGATGTTTGATGAAGGACAGCAGAGCAAACAAACTGCTGCAGGTGGATGATCGCTGATTTATAAAACATGGTTGACACACTTCAAAGCAGGACTGCATGATTATGCCCATGGCTTTCTTGCATAATGTTTAGGTGGTAACTGCGTAAGGTGGGGAAAGGTTCAGTTATCAAAATATTATTAATTTCCCTTTGGCATCTCAATGTTCTTCTCTTCACATTTCCAGGATTCCCAGCCCTGTCTGCTGGAGAAAAGGATGTAGGTTTGTGCAGTCATGTATATGCGCACAAATCAAATTCTGCTCTTACAAAACCATGCTCCCAAAGGTCGGCTTGCAGACTGAGCGCTCAATTTTGTTTTGTGCTCTCTCAAATCTTTTGTTGTCAATATGCTACGATGTCCCTGGCACATCATTGCTTTGGGCAACTGGCTGTTGCCCCAAGCTGCCTCCCTCTCAAAGAAAAACAAACCAGAGTCACAAGGTATTGGTTAGGGGCTGCAAACACTATGGCAAAGAGACTTATAAACATACATACACACAAACAGATACCTTACAAGATAAACACATGTGCACACAGAAAATGGAAAACAAATTTAACAGCAAAGACAGATAAATAAAGATATGCTACTTTGTCCCTGTAAAACACACACAAACACACACCAGGCTGTTTTACATTCAGGACTCAAACAGTTGTTTGCACTGAGCCTGCTGTAAGTGAGCCAAAGCCAGACTGCCACACGCTTCCTGGGTAACAATGGCAGCCAGCCCGGAGGGTTGAAGGGGGAGATGTGAAGCCCCCCACCAGCCTGCAGCTGCCCTGAGGTCTCCGGCATTATGTAATAAGTTGGCATCAAGGTCCAAAGGTCTATTTATTGACAGCTAAGACCCTCTGAACAGATCCCATCCAGGCCTGAGAATCACCTAGTGACTGGTCTGAGAGATGAAAGA